AACAAATTTCCCTGTCACCTAAAAACATACAGCCAGGACCCCATCAATCACAGTGTGCGTCCTCTTTCCAGGACAAGGGGCACCTGACACCTCTAGAGGGTTATGCTGACTTTTCATCAAAAATCAAACGCAATTTATATCTAATGGAAACATAGCCCATATGGAAGCATACGGATTTCATTCTCTGTTTTCTCACCGGGAATTAACAATCCACCAAAAACAACGGATCTTAGAAGTACCTCATGATCATAGCTCCTCCTCTCTTTTCCCATAAACCGCCTGATTTGAAATCTAGCTGAGTCTGGTTGCAGCTTTGTCAGTCATCCAAACTGAGATGACGAATCTCTCCTAACTTACTCTACAAATACCATGGAGAAAACTTCCTACCATGACTAATTCAAACTCAGATTTTAAACATAAATATATTCTCCTCCAGTATTTCTGGTAGATCTTAAAAAGAGAAAAAGAAAGAAAAAGAAACTGTCTTCAGGATACTAGTATGGAGAAGATACACCGAAGAGAGATCACAGCATGGAGGGGAATTAACTAAGGGCTCTGGCCATAAAAGCAATGGCCAGTTGTGACCACGTGAGGGAGACAAGGAGTCCAATGGACGAGCCACATCCAACTCAAAGCCTCCGTCCTCACTTAGGGCTGGTGAAGACCACAGGCCACGGTTAAACATGCTGTTTCAATAAGAATTCACATTTACTTATTTTACACACATATATTAAAAGAGCCTCCAATGTGACCTGTTACAAAATGTCTAATTACTCAAAAATATAGCATACAGATCACCCTTTTTGAAAGATCACATGAGGAAAATGTACAACTATCACATGATAGGCTTAGAAGTGAACAAAGCTTAATAATATAAACAGGATAAGATAAAAAGGAGGGGAAGGCAGAGGTTAAAGCATCACCGAGAACCCTCGCTGTATTTTCCTGTAGAGGTTTTCTTTGCCACCCGGAGAAAGATGCTGACTCTCCGTTCTGGACAGGAAGGGCAGGGGAGATAGGCAGGCACACACCCACCACCACTCCCAGGCACAAGGATGCTCATCAACAATGCATGACTGCTATTAACAAAAAAAGAAACACAGCAACAGAGCAGTTAACAGAGAGCCCTATGTGCTCATCCACTCTGCTCTTCCCGGCGGCCATCTCATGGACACGCGTGCAAACATCAACCTCCGAGCACGTGGGGCTGGGAAACACAGTCTACTTCTCAGTGCTGTCATCAAAACAAGACAAGGCCTCACATGTCTGGAGTGGAGACAGTCGGGTTCATCAGCCTGACACAGAAGAGTGGAATGGGTCACTCCAATTATTGGTCCTGCATACACGCTCAGTCATCTCACCATGTCCATGGAAACCACAGGGCACCCAAAGGGGAAGATATGGCCCATGCCCTTGAGAAATACAAACTCCAACAGAAAAACACAATACAGCATATGTATACATACACATACAGTGTACACACACATATGTGTTCATTGTAAAAAGAACGTGCATTTTATTTTATTTTATTTTTTAATTTTGAGATGGAGTCTCACTCTGTCACCCAGGCTGGGGTGCAGTGGTGTGATCTCAGCTCACTGCAATCTCCACCTCCCGGGTTCAAGTGATCCTCCTGTCTCAGCCTCCCAAGTAGCTGGGATTACAGGCATGCGCCACCTCGCCCGGCTAATTTTTGTATTTTTAGTAGAGATGGGATTTCACCATGTTGGCCAGGTTGGTCTCGAACTCCTGACCTCAGGTGATCCGCTCATCTCACCCTCCCAAAGTGCTGGGATTACAGGAGTGAGCCACCATGTCTGGCCAAGAATGTGCTTTTGAAAAATGCCTGAGGACCCCAGTCAGAATCAACTTTCCCATAAGCGATCATGATGAAGGCAAGGGTTGTGACAACATCACTCACACCTCAGCAGCCATGCGCTTGGCATCTAGTCTTTGCCAGGTCCAGCTCCAGGTAGAGAGCAGGCAGAATGAGGTCTTCTCCCACGGAGGGAGACAAGCATGGACCAACTAAATACGCAACTGATGACCGAATTGAAACTGTGGTAAGTGCAGGAAGGAAGACAGCAGAGGCCCAGAGTTCCTGGTCTAGCTAAAGACTTGTGAAGGCTTTCAAGAGGAGGCCAGGCCCAAGAGGAGTCACGTGGTGAAGGCACAGGGTGTGGGGACAGGGGAGGTGCACCAGCCCTACTGTGGGAAGGAAGGTGTGTGCTGAAGAAGTTCAAGATGCAGCAGACGCAGCAGGCAAAGGAGTGACACTGACGGCTCAGGCGAAGGGCTCAGGGCCATGTCACAACTCACCAGCCGTGGGAACTGTGCTTGCTGAGGTGAGGTGTGTGGGGACACTGCCACCAGGAGAGAATAAAGTCCTGGCTACAGGGGCAGATGGATGTGCCATGGGTCAGGAATGGCACCCGAGATCCTAAGCCCCTACACAAACAGAGTCCAGGCTCTGCCTCCTTAGAGTTGCTGGATCGCGGAGAGGCTCAAGAAATCCCAGCAGAGCGGGGGAGGTGGGCAGCACTCCCAGGGGCTGGGGAGAGCAAAAATTCACTACAGCAGGTAACACCAGACCACTGCCCAAGCCACCACGGAGCCACAGCCTCCCCAGCAGGAGACACAGGTGGCTCTGGGAGCTCTGCCTTGGCCTGCTGCTCCCTCCCGTCACCGAAACGCCACAGTGCAAATGGGCCATGCAGCCAGCTTCCACGGTGGCCCTGCTGGCTACCTGCTCACTCTGCAGGTACAACCAAGAAAAGCGCAGTTCAAATGCAGCCCCAAAAGCAACAGCGACCCAATACACGCAGAAAAGAAGCTGCATGCCTGTCGCAGGGGCCCCGGTCAGAGCAGAGATTCACCTGGGTCACCAGAAGTCCTCAACAGCAAACAACAGCTACTCCACACGAGGATGCAAACGGCCACAATAAGCAGTGTGTGCCTTCAGAACCTTGGCAACAAAGAACCACAGGAGTTCACAAAAGGAGAATTCCTTTCTCATAGAGATGGCCATGGAAATCACTACAGAGAAATCAATGTTTCCTTTAAAGAATGCTAGCATTTCAACAGGTGCAGCAAGAAGAGGGGCTCTATGAGGGCTGCTTAGTGTATACTGGGTTTCTTTTTTCTTGGGCGGGGGTGGAAGGGACAGAGTTTCACTCTTGTTGCCCAGGCTGGAGTACAATGGCGTAACATTGGCTCACTGCAAGCTCCGCCTCCTGGGTTCAAGTGATTCTCCTGCATCAGCCTCCTGAGTAGCTGGAATTACAGGGGCCCGCCACCACCCCTGGCTAATTTTTGTATTTTTAGTAAACACGGGGTTTCACCATGTTGGCCAGGCTGGTCTTGAACTCCTGACCTCAGGTGATCCGCCCACCTGGGCCTCCCGAAGTGCTCAGATTATAGGAGTGAGCCACCATGCCCGGCCAGAATTAGTGCATTTAAACCTCACAACTACCCTCAGAGATGCACACCCCACAGTACCCTGGAGCCAGAGCCTACTCGAAGACAGACAGCGAATAGCCAGGGGAAAGCAGTGGGTGGAGGGCTGGAGAGAAAGATGTCCTGCTTTCAGAAATGTGAAAAACAGAGAAGTACGAAATTTGTGAGGTGCCAGGACATGACAGTGAGGGAGTGGAGTCCCTGCCTGGACAGCAGCAGTGATGGAGCAGCAGTGCAGGGGGCAGTAATGAGGCAACCAGACGGCCTGCAGGGAGGAGAGCCCGTTCCCCAGGGGAGAGTGCTGCCTTCCCAGAAGGTGTCCTCGACAGGAGAGAGCCCTTCGAGACCCTACGCTTTCCTGGGAGTGGTGAGCACCCAGGGCCTGGCACGGGGACAGGAAGTCCCGGCCCTCCCATCGCCAGAGATCTCTCCAACAGCTTCCCAGCTGCACAGGCCCTGCTGGGTCAGCAGAAGCCTTGTCTCCTTGCTGAAGAGAACCACATCACCCAGGGTAGCCTGCATCCAACTGCTGGTCAGTGAGAGAGGAGAAAGGCCCGGCCCCTCAGAACAACATGGGACACGTCTGCAGGGCACGGCAGTGCAGATCCCCGTGCGGCTGAGGCCTGTGTCGATATAGCACTGAAGCCCAGCTTCTCCCACTGTCCAGTCTCACCTCCGTCTCTTTCCTTCCACGGGGCTGATCCCATGAGTACCTCCCAATACGTTCTGCACACATCAGTCTCCACAGCAGACAGCACTTCCCTGAGAACCCAGCCGGCACCACACACTGGGCCAGGGTCAGGGATACAGGCAGGAAGGCAGGTTTGGGGCGGCTGAGCCACAAGTGCGTAGGGAAACAGGTCATGTTTCCTGCTATCAAAAAGCAGATAGCACCCAGGAGCAGCATAAGAAGAGAAGATGAAGGCCAAGAAAGGAGCCTGGGAGAAAGGCAACCTTGAAACAGGGGCAGAGACACCGCATGGCCCCATGAGAGCAAACACACGCAAACCTCATCTTTGGTTCTGGAAGGGAAGATGGAGTCACCCAGTGACTCGAAGGGGCACAAGGGACCCCTGGGTTCTGCTCACGCCCGTCTCTGATCCGGGTGTTGATTACAGCGGTGGCCACTTGGTGAGAATTCACTGAGATCACTGAGACACATTCCTACGAGTCGTGTACTCCTCTATGTAAATGTTATGCTTTGACATTTATATTTTATAAAAGGCAGGCTAAGGAAATGGGAGGCAACACAGGAGGCCGAGAAGAAGCCCGAGAGGCGGAGGGAAAAGCCGTGGAGTGTGCTGGCCGGCCAAGGAGCAGGAGGGGATGGTGTCAAGGTGGGAGGAGGTGGCACACGGGTCCCAGAGAAGTGAGTGTGGAAGGAGGGAGCCAAGGCATGGGGCAGGGACCTTCTCACCGACGAGGAGCTGGCCAGTGTCTTCCACCCACTGAAACCCAAGCCCAGGGTTTACATGAACCAGCATCTAAAGTGCTCTCATTCACAGTCCCTTGAAAAAAAAAAATCATGGTTTGAGCTCACTTACCCTGATCCGACAAGAAGTCCAGCATGGTCTGTAGAAGGAAGGACAGGTGTCTGACAGAGAGGGCTGGGTTCCCCATCCTTCGGGAGGCGTAGACCAGTTCATGGAGCAAACGCATCTGGACCGCAGCCCAGCCTCTGTGCGTGCCTGTGATGGAAGTTACGAAACATCACAAAAGTGCTTGGAGAGGGTGCAGGAAATACAGTTAATCTAAGTTGTAAAACTTGGCAATGTGAAGACAAATGCCTCAACCATCAAACTCAAAGAGCAACAAAAAATATTTCCTCTGTTTTTAATGACCCTGGAAAAGGACTTTAAAGTTGGCGTGGGTTTCATACAGCAAAAACAGGTATTACATTATAGCTTCTCTCTTCTGCAAAGACAGGATTTGATTTCAAAAATTACCTGTTTTGAAATAATAAACTTAGAACAAAAGTTGGTTTTCATATATCTGAGTTAGAGACATACTTTTTTTTCAAGAAAATACTCATATTTGAAGGGCCTTCATTATCAACAACCAAGAACATTAAATCAAAAATATTTCTCTAAAATATGAGAAAAATGAAGAAAAGTAGATAGCTAAATTAGAAAAAAAGTTAAATTCTACAGCTGCTCACTCCAAAATAGTTTAGCATCTTTGAATTAAAGATGGAGAAATTTGGATGCACAGACAGTCGAAAAGTATCTCTTTTTTTAAGAGATGGGGTCTTTCTCTGTCATCCAGGCTGGAGTGTGGTGGTACAATCATAGCTTACTGCAGTCTGGACCTCCTGGGTTCAAGCAATCCAATCCTCCCATTTCAGCCCCCTGAGGAGCTGGGACTACAGGTATACACCACAATGCCCGACTAATTTTATTTTATGTTTTTTTGTTTTTCTTTTTCCTGTAGAGACAGGGTCTCCCCATGTTGCCCAGGCTGGTCTTGAACTCCTGGCCTAGAGCGATCCTCCCACCTTGGCCTCCCAAAGTGCTAGGATTACAGGTATGAGCCACTGCTCCCAGCCAACCTGTGTTAACACACACAGCCCGCCAATAGTTCTAATAACCAATCACACAGACTGGCTAATCACTGCTCCAGCTGATCCAAAACTTAGACCATGAGAAAACACATAAAGGCTCATTCAAACTCCGACAAAACTGCCATGCACTGAAAGTCCATAATAGCTCACGACAGCTGGTTAACAAGTATTTACTGAGAGCACAATGCTGTGCAGGGCAGGTTCAGGAGAACAAGCAGGGAGATGAAGGGCCTGCTCTCATGGCATTGACACTCTTGTGGGAAGAGTTAGGCCTCAGCCCTGGGAAACAGCGTGCTGGTGGATGCTGGGACAAACACAAACAGTAATTGTGAGGGCTGATGGGGCTGAGTGGTGCTGCGTCAGCCAGGGTAGGTGGGCAAGGAGGTGACCTCTGGGGTGAACCCTCGATGAGAAGGGGGCCACACCAAACTGTAAAGCTGAGACAGTAGTCATAGTACAAGTCAACGTTGTGAGGTTTAAGTGCAATAACCCATTTAAAGCACTTCAGCAGTGTATTTATCATACGTTCTCAATAAATTATAGTTGCTATTAATATTATTATTCAATGAATATAATGTGGTTAACACACAGGCCAACCTTTGACTCTAGCTGTGACATGATTAATGATCCATCCTGTTCCACTGTTTCACTAAGAATGAGTCCTCCATTTTCTCAGATCCCTGTTGAGGTTATTTATTAAAATTACCTGCTTATGTGTCAAAATCCCCCCATTCAGGTATGACTTCCTGTACCTGAAGACTGTGTGTTACTTACTATTGCATGCCCAGGACAGGGCCTGGCATGAGATTGGGCGCTCGGCTGATGCTGACTGGTGAGCAAGCAGAATAAGAAGGGACGCTTGCTCCCCAACGCAAATAGCAGGGGCCCTTCCTTCTATCCTAACCTTTCTCTGTTTGCCCACTGATATTTGAAGACGCTGCTCCAAGAGTTCCGCCACTCACAGCCCTTCCTGACCTCTTCTCTCAGCACCCTGCCCTGCACAGCCGACCAGTCCCTCTTCTATATTTCCACTGTATTTTGCACAAAGTTCAGCTCATAGGAGTTATCTGGCAGGTACCATAAGGCATCTGTAATCTCATGTTTTTGTTTCTCTCATCGATCCTTAATTTCCTTGGGAGACAGGTTTGGTCTTATCCATTCGAGTGTCCTTAATGCCTGGCAGGGTGCCTGATAACACAGTTGGTACTTAACATGCATGTAGATCAAGATGCAAAGCTGATGAAAGGAAACGCTCCCATGTTGTGGACATGCATACAGCTATGAAGGAGAACCGTGATGTGGTTTCTGGGATCTGCTATAAAATACTTCAACAAAAAATAAATAAAGTAAAAATAAAGCCAGTGTGGTCAAATCTTGATAATGATTTAATCCGGGCAATGGACTCATTATTCTATTCTATCCTCTCTAATTTGTATATATTTAAAGTATTTCTTCATAACTTCTCATTGAAATCCTTGGAGCTGACCCTACACACACTTAAAAAAATAAAAATAAAGAAAAACACTACTTTATATCTCTGTAGTTTATCTTTGTGACATCTTTTGGAATATAAAATGGTAGTACTTCTCATACAACTGCAGGAAAGGAGAGAAAGACGAGTCCCTGCAATATTCCATATTGTCAAAAGAAGCCAAGACCAAATGCCAAAATGAAGAAGAGATTTTTTTAAAGATTATGAAGCTGAAATCAATGTCATGACTAACCTAGCCATGAATTCAGAAAGACCCAATTTAACTAATCTCAACACTACCATATCTAGAAGGTTTTCTCACATAGGAATTGGGCAAATATCACTTTGCTGATTCTTTTAAAAATAGATAATGATCCAGTTCCTACCACGGGCGATTATGAGTAAGACCGAGTATAAATGTTCTTAACAGTAAATAGTGTAAAAGCCATAATTTCTACGTGGCTCAAAGTGCTCTCCCTATAAAATGTGAATTATTTTTCTGAAAACAGATTTGCAGCATATGACCCAGTGATAAAATTTTCAATACTCTTGTAATCAAAAAGTTCACCAATTTGGAGGTTTATTATATATATGAACTATTGCCTTTTAGCAAATCCATCTGCCTTAGCAGTCTCTTTCTTTCATAAGAGTTCCTGGGCAAAATTTAATCCCTTGTCCAGGAAAAGGCTTGAGCAAAAGGCATGATCAAAAATCTTCATATACAGCAGCACAAATAAGATTTAAATGATACCAAGTGGCCCCTTAAGCCAGCAAATACACACAGCACGCATCAGTGTTCCTACCTCGACTGTCTATAACCAGTTAGTGCAAATGTTCATTTCAAGAAAAAGACAGAATACATTTTAGGACCTGAGAATACAGACAATTTGCCTTTTATTCACAGATACAGGGTGTTAGTAGATTTCCATTAAATTCTCTGGGAGCTATTTAAAGCAGTCCAGAGCCACAGTGGAGATGGGGTTTAAAGTGACTTTTGTGTTTTGTTAAACACACAGTCAGCTGACATTTATCATTTTTACATTATTTAATCTCAGCTAGTCACCTTCTTTCTCTTGCCTCTTTCACAAAATAATGGCAAATGTCTCCTCCTGACACAGATGTTTGTTTTTTTTTTGAGACGGAGCTTCACTCTCGTTGCCCAGGCTGGAGTGCAATGCCACGATCTCGGTTCACCGCAACTTCTGCCTCCCGGGTTCAAGTAATTCTCCTGCCTCAGCCTCCCGAGTAGCTGGGATTACAGGTGTGTACCACCACGCCCAGCTAGTAGAGACGGGGTTTCACCATATTAGCCAGACTTGTCTTGAACTCCTGACCTCAGGTGACCCGCCTGCCTCAGCCTCCCAAAGTGCTGGGATTACAGGCGTCAGCCACTGCTCCCAGCCCCAGACGTTTTTCAGATGTACTTACAAATCATGAGAAGTGTTATAACGAAGAACAAGAGAATTCAATGAAAAGAGAAAAATAACAGCGTTCGATGAAAGAGAAAAATAAAACAGTTCCACTTAAGACTGAAAGGACCACTGAGGACCTCTCTAAAAAAATGGCATCCAGCTGTGACCTGAGGATGACTGGGAGTGAGGCAGGAAGAATAGGGAAGAGCATCCCGAAGGAGGCAAGAGGCATCAGAAGACCTCAGACTGATGCAGTCTGAAATGTTATAGATAACTGGCCCCAGGACAAGAAAAAAGGAGAATGAAGGCGACTCCTAAGACAACTTGCATAGAGCTCAGGAGCCTTGCTTCTACCCTGAAGCCAGCCTGGAGTTACATTCAAAGGATGCAAAAAAAAAAAAAAAAAGGAACTGAAAAGCAATTTAAATCTTGCCTGAAGTCTCTCAAAAGCACAGCAAATGGGGATTCCATTCACAAGTGCACATCGAAATCTATTAAAACACACTTTCTCATCACTCTACAAAGCAGTAGTGTGATTGCTTTAAAAACTCTTTCTTCTTCCTAAACACTACTCCTTCCCAATCAAATTTCTCCAGAATCCAGCCTAAATGAGCTTAGACACCCAACTCTCCCCTGCTGAGACTCTGGGATCTAATCTCTCCTCCTCCACCAGTAACTCTTAGCATTTTTTTTTTTTTTTTTTTTTTTTTTTTTTTTTTTTTGAGATGGAGTCTCGCTCTGCCACCCCGGCTCAAGTGCAGTGGTACATTCTCGGCTCACTGCAACCCCTCCACCTCCCAGGTTCAAGCGATTCTCCTGCCTCAGCCTCCTGAGTAGCCAGGATTACAGGCATGAGCCACTACACCTGGCTAATTTGTATTTTTTTAGTACAGACAGGGTTTCATTATGTTGGCCAGGCTAGTCTTGAACTCCTGACCTCAAGTGATCCACCCATCTCAACCTCCCAAAGTGCTGGGATTACAGGCATGAACCACCACACCTGGCCACTCTTAGCCTTTTAAAATGTAAATCCTACAAGTTTTAGGGCTTGTCCAGTTATTTTGTCCAAAATTAACTGTGTTGCTAGGGCAGGCCCCTCCCTGGCCCTCATCCACAACCAAAGGCCAGGGAGGGCCTGCCTTAGCAACACACACTTCTTCTGGGGGAGCCGGGGAGGGACGGGCCTTGCAAACCCCGTTCACGCTGGCCTCAGGGGATGCTACGGGAAGCACACTAGACCTGACC